GGAATTAACAGCAGCTGATATCTACTCAGTGCCACATATTCTAAAGGTTCTTTCACATGGAATTTGCCCATTTAATCCTTACAATGACCCTGATGAGTAATCACAAAAAGGTGAAGTATGCTATCTCAGGTAACAAAGTAGGTGACAGAGTCAGAACTCTCAGTCTGGCCCTAGAGCCTGGACTTTTAACTACTTTTTATAGACACACACACATACACATATACTCACTCTCTTTTCTGTATGTTAATTTAAACAATAGTATTTAAGTAATTTTGTCCTTCAAAATTTTTGTATTATACAACATTGACTTAAAACATTAAGAAAAAAAATGTAGCCAAGTGTGATGACATCTGCCTTTAATTGCAGAAGGCAGAGGCAGCTCGATCTCTGAGTTGAAAGCTAGACTACCTACTCTACAGAGTGAATTCCAGGGCAGGAGGGATAAACAGTTAGACTCTTGTCTCAAAAAAACAAGAGCAAAATTAAATTGTGTTAAAATGCATATAGTATCTTAACCATTTTCACGAACATCAACAGTGTCTAAGGACATTTATATTGATGTGCATCTCTGGAATTTGTTAGCTTGCAAAACTTAAATTCTACACTCATTAACAGCCACTCCATCTCCCTGGCAACTATCATTCCACTTTGTGTTTACAAATTTGACTACCTTAAGTAATAATGCTAACTTTATTTTATATGTATGGGTGTTTTGCATTCATTCAGGTGTAGCACTTTTGTGTCTGATGCTCTCATGGTTATAGGTGGCTGTGAGCTGTCCCAGAAGTCCTGGAAATTGAACCTAGGTTGTTTGGAAGAACAGCCAGTGCTCTTAACCACTGAACCATCTCCCCAGCCCCTCTATTCCTTCCTTCCTTCCTTCCTTCCTTCCTTCCTTCCTTCCTTCCTTCCTTCCTTCCTTCCTTCCTCCCTCCCTCCCTCCCTCCCTCCCTCCCTCCCTCCCTCCCTCCCTCCCTCCTTCCACCACCATCCCCTTTTTTGAGACAAGACTTTTGCTATTTAGGCCTAGCTGGCCTGGAATTGTGGCCACTTTTCCGTTTCAGTTCCTCAGCTCTTGGGACTATAGGTGTGCTCTACCATGCTCAGCATAAACTCAGCTTCATAATACTGATTTTTAATCCCATAAAATTACTCTAGTTGATGTAATCATATTTTTAATACCTTGCTGTGCATATTTGTGTATTAGCATGTATGGGCATACATGCACACATATGTCAACACACAGTTGTTGACGTCAGTGATCTTCCATCTTATTTCTCAATCTGGGTCTACTGATGAACCTTTACTTCACTGATTTGGCCTTTGTAGCTAGCCAGCTTGCTCCAAATTCCATCTGTTTCTCAGTTGCTCAGATGGCAGGAGGGCTACCAAGTCCCCTCAGACATTTAGGTGGTTGCTGGTAGCCCAAAGCTGCCTTACTCTTTCTTTTCAAAACTATTCACTTATTTTTATATTTATGCGTGTGTACCTGAGTGTATGCCTGTGCACCACATGTGTGCAAAATTCCACGGAGGTCAGAAAGGGTGTTGGATCCCCTAGAACTGAAGCCATAGGCAGGTGTGAACTGCCACATGGGAAATGAACTCAGGTCCTCTGCCAGAACAACTAGTTTTCTTAAAAACTACGCCATCTCACTCCTCCCTTTCCCAAGCTCCCAAGCCAGTCAAATTTGGCAGTGGGATGCACAACTTGAGTGATACGAGTATTAGCATTGATAACCCATTACCACTGGGTCAGCTTTACTGGCTTTTTTCAAGTTTCTATTTCTTGGGCTAGGGTTGTAGAACAATGTAGAACAGGTCCTAGGCTTGAGCTCTAGCACTTGGAGGAGGAGAAGGTGGAGGAAGAGTTGTATTCCTTAAGAATATATTTGTTAAATACTAACTTTTTAACTTTTTCAACTAAGTCCATTTAAACCAGGAAACAGACTAAACTCATAGGTATTAATACCATACAGAGCGAGAAGGTAGTTACTATAAAAATTGAGGTAATGATTACTTTTGAGTGAAGTTATAATCTGACATGCATACAGAGGGTATTGGCATGATATTGGAGTTTTATTTTGTTACCTTGAAAGTAGTTATAAGGGTATCAGATCTATAGTAATTCATCAGACTACATATTCTTCTATGTCCATATATCTGTATTTTACTTCATAGTAAATTTAAAATTTTTTGAGATTTACTTTATTTTATGTTCATGTTTCTGACGAGTGCTTTGTCTGTATGCATGTACACATGTATGTGCACTGTATGTGTGCTAGCGATTAAAAAGGGCACTGGATCCTCTGAAACTGCAATTACAGTCAGTCATAAGCTGCCATGTAGGTGCTGGGAACCAAACCTGATTACTTTACTTTTCTCTTTTTAAAAGATTTACTTATTTTATGTGTATAAGAATTTGCCTGCATCCTGCACAAAACTAAAGTCCAAGTGGATCAAAGACCTCAATATAAAACCAGACACACTAAACCTGTTAGAAGAAAAAGTTGGGAAGAGCCTGGAACTCATTGGCACAGGAAACAACTTCCTAAACAGAACACCAACAGCACAGGCTTTAAGTGCAACAATCAATAAATGGGACCTCATGAAACTGAAAAGCTTCTATAAAGCAAAGGACACTGTCATCAAAGTAAAACGACTGCCTACAGATTAGGAAAGAATCTTCACCAACCCTCTACCTGACAGAGGGCTAATATTCAGTATATATAATCCAATTAAAAAATGGGGCACAGAGCTAAACAGAGAATTCTCAAAAGAGGAATATCAAATAGCAGAGAAACACTTAAAATGTTCAATGTCCTTAGTCATCAGGGAAATGCAAATCAAAATGACCCTGAGATCTCACCTTACACCCATCAGAATGGCCAAGATGAATAACTCAAGTGACAACACATGCTGGAGAGGATGTGAAGAGGAACCCTCCTCCACTGCTGGTGGGAATGTAAACTTATATAACCACTTTGGAAAACAATCCGGTGCTATCTCAGACAATTAGGAATAGTGCTTCCTCAAGATCCAGCTATACCACTCTTAGGCATATATGCAAAAGATGCTCAAGTATACAACAAGGACATTTGATCAACCATGTTTGTAGAAGCTATATTTATAATAGCCAGAAGTTGGAAACAGCCCACATGCCCCTCAGTTGAGGAATGGATACAGAAACTGTGGTACATTTATACAATGGAATACTACTCAGCGATAAAAAACAAGGAAATCATGAAATTTGCAGGAAAATGGTGGGAACTGGAAAAGATCATCCTGAGTGTGGTATCCCAGAAGCAGAAAGACACACTGGGTATATACTCACTTATAAGTGGATATTAGACATACAATATAGGATAAACATATTAAAATATGTACCCCTAAGGAAGCTAATCAGGAAGGAGGACTCTGGCTAAGACGCTCAATCCCCATTCAGAAAGGCAAAGAGGATGGACATTGGAGGAAGGAGAAAACAGGGAACAGGACAGGAGCCTACAACAGAGGGCCTCTGAAAGGCTCTACCCTGCAGGTTATCAAGGCAGATGCGGAGACTCATAGCCTCCTTTGGGCAGAGTGCAGGGAATCTTATGAAAGAAGTGGGAGATAGTAAGACCTGGAGAGGACAGGAACTCCACAAGGACAGCTACAGATCCAAAGAGTCTGGGCACAGTGGTCTTTTCTGAAACTGATACTCCAGCCAAGAACCACCCATGGAGATGGCCTGGAACCCCTGCATGGAGGTAGCCTATGGCAGTTCAGTGTCCAAGTGGCCTCCATAGTAATGGGGATAGGGACTGTCTCTGACATGAACTGATTGGCCTGCTCTTTGATCACCCCCGCCCCCTGAGGGGGGAGCAGCCTTACCAGGTCCTAGAGGAAGACAACACAGCCACTCCTGATGAGACCTGATAGATTAGGATCAGAGGGAAGGGGAGGAGGATCTCCGTTATCAGTGGACTGGGAGAGGGACACGGGTGGAGAAGAGGGAGGATGGGATTGGGAGGAGAGGAGGGAGGATGGTACAGGTGGGATACAAAGTGAATAAACTGTAATTAATAAAAATAAAAATAATTAAATAAAAAAAGCATCTAGACTGGGGAAAAAGAAAGAAAGAAAGAATTTGCCTGCATGTGTGTCCTTGTGACATATGCATGCCTGGTGTCCATGAAAGCCAGAGAGTGTGTTGGATCACCTGGATCTGAAGTTATACAGTTGTGAGCTGCCATGTAGGTGCTGAGAGTTGAACCTGGGTCCTCCACAAGAGCAGCAAACGCTCTTAACCACCACACTAGCGCTCCATCCCCTACATATTAATCCCTTCTTAGAGTATTTTGAAAACATTAAGTTGTCGCCTCAAGAATTACATAAATGACAAAGACGACTCTGTTTCAGGATGATCATTCCTAGTGATAGTCATGTGATGAGGCATCTGTGCAGCTGCCTCAGGCCACGTGAAATGCCCAGCACAGCAAAAATAGGAAACAAAGAAAGCCACCTTTGTAACCTTCAAAACCTCTTAAGATAAATATTCATAAAAAAGTAGAAAATAGTATTTGCCTATAAGGATTTTTAGTATTGTTCTATATTTTTGGTTGTAAGCCTAGCCTTTAATACTGAGCCATCTCTTCAGTACTTCAGCAATATTTTTAATAATGTTTTGACAATGTTCTATATTAACAAGAGGCACATTTTACAAGTATGTGATAGCATACACCTGTAATCCCAGTACCTAGAAAGTGGAGGCAGCAAGAGGCAGAATAAAGCTATTTGAAATATGAACAAAAAGAAACATACCTGTTATATTAAAATTTTTTTTGAAGACCAATAAATGAGAAATCCTTACACAACCATAAAAATTAGAATTACTGTTTAAAAAATTGCATACAATAAATTCAAGCACAAATACACAATTTTTAAAAATAAAAGACAAAATTAAAAAACATTATGCACAAACATGGCAAACACAGCCTGAGAGTTTGGGAAAGTACTAACCAGTTACTGCCAGCAGCTGTGAAACTCTCACCTCCATTTCCTCCCGGTGAGACCTGTCTCTATCCTCAAATTCTCGAGTTCTTCTTCGAGCCTCTTCGAAGGCCTGTTGTGCTAATGCATCTTCCTGCTGTCAAGGTACATAAAATAATTATTTTAATTTTAATTTATGTAAAAAAATTAAATTTGTAGATTTTTGAGGGGAAGAAAACCAACTGAAGAGTAATTCTTAAAATATCAATACTGACCTCGCACTCCTAACTAGGTACCTTTATTTGGGAGTCCGAGTCTTATTATAGTCTTGGCTGGTCTGAAACACGATCCACCTGCATTAGCCTCTCCAGCGCTAGCACTACTGACATCTGTTGTCATCGTCTAATAGGACTCTGAGCCATCTCTGATTTGTGACCCTTCTTCTTAGCGCCCCCTCCCTGTAAACTCGATTAGCATACTACCTATTTGCTTTTTATATTTTTGGAATCTTTAATCTCCCCTTCATTTCTATAAACATTTTTCTAATTTGGAACCCAAAGAGCTCCTAGCTAGATTACTGTCAGTCTCCCACGTTCCTGTTCCATTTTATTATTGCACGCCACTGTTCCCTGTCATCCGTGTACATCTAAAATACAATTTGATCACATGACTCCTAGCCTTAAAAGCTCCCTCACTGCTTAGACCCTTCAGCATAAAATGTTCAAGCTTTGCCAGTCACATGCCACTTAGTATGTACTTACACTTTTGATGGTATAATTGAAGAAACTAAAAGATCCAGAATAAAAAAAAAAAAAAAAAAAAAAGCCATCAATATTCACTTCCCCAGAAGAGCACAAAGGTTGGCCATATAACTTACTTCTGCCAATGAGGTAACAGCAACTAATGAGGTTTCTAAGAAGGCTATATAAGAGAAATTTCACCATTACTCCTTCCTGGGAACTGATACAATGTTCAGAGACTTAGCGGCCATCTGGCAAATATGAGGATAGACCCACAGACAGGAAGATGAAAAGACGTGTGCCTCTGATAATGCAGTAAATGTTAAACTGGGCCTGACTATGCTAGATATCTTGCTGTGTGCATAAAATAATGTCACTGTTAACAATATTTAATTTTTCACAGTTCACAGGGGCTTTCTATTTGTGTGCTTTACATCTCTAGAAAAAGAATCCCAAGATTTTCCCTCCTGTGTGTTTTCATCTTGCTTCTTCATGGTCCATGATGCCAGCTGAGGATGTCTGTACAAGCCAAACTGATGAGGTGGGAGTAGATTGTTCTGCCATTTTCCAGGTCTCTAAGTTGTACATCAAATTTAGGGCTGATCACTTTACATTTGTTCAACCTGCCTGAGAGGCTCCCAGTGATTTTCCCAGCTCTGTGATCATCAAAGATTTTAAATTATTCAATGTAAGCATGCTTTATCATCACAGTCAGGAATTGAATGATGACTTGGAGCATGGCCTAATGAGGATCTGGCACTCCATCTCTTCTCAGCATTGTTGATGCTCTTGAGAGCATCTGCCAGGTTATTCACGTGCACCATGGTGATGGTGTGGAAAGATGGCAGAAAGGTTAATAATTTCCATTTTCAGTGCCTGTAACTTAAAGGTTAAAGGTCTGATCAAATTCCCATACTTAGGGCTAGAAAGAGAGCTTAGTGGCAGAGCATCAACCTAGCACACAAGGTTCCAGGTCCAATCACCAGCACTTAGGAAAAGCACATTCTTTTTTCTTTCCTAAAATCTTGTGGTTTTTGTTTTGTTTTAACATGTACGTCTGTGTACTATTTGTGTACCCGGCACCTGCAGAGGCAAAAAAGGTCATTGGATTTCCCCAGTACAGGAATACTCAGTTATGAGTTGTTATATGGGGGCTCAGAATTGAACCTTAGTTCTTTTCATACTTTCCTAAAGTAGCCCATCCTCTTAATTTCTAAGCCATCTCGAGCCTCCAAAACATATTTTTATGATGTACCTACTAGTTTTAGAACCCAAGGCAAGATGATAATTAATTTCACTAAGCCTTAGTAAATTCATATAAAATACAGGCATAGTAATATTTGTTAAAATGACACAAGACAGCTGGGTATGGTGGCACATGCCTTTAATCCCAGCACTTGAGAGGCAGAGGCAGGCAAATCTCTCTGAGTTCGAGGCCAGCCTGGTCTACAAAAGGAGTCCAGGACAGCCAGGGCTCTGTATAACAGAGAAACCCTGTCTCAAAACACCAAAACCAAATCAAACCAAACCAACAAAAAATAAGACAACACAGAAAAAAGGCTTAAGACATTTCAATAAGTGCTATTAACTTACAAGCACTTATGAACATAAAAAAAGTCACACACCTAACTTGTATCTACTTCCAGAATATTCTATATAAATAAGCCTGAGCTGCCTAGAAAAGAAAAAGCTGCCTAAGGAAGTTCAATTTCTAGTGACTTACCAACTGGGACAAACCTGCTGATGACAAGGCATCCCTTCTGTTCTGCTCACTTACTTCTTTTTCTCAGGAATTGTTATTACATTTAATGTGTGTGCACACATTGCAGCTTGGATGTAGAGGTCAGAGAACCACCTACAGGGGTTGGTTCTCTCCCTTTTGGGGGGGCTTATAGATCAAAACCAGGTCATAAGGCTGGTGACAAGTGCCTTTACCCTATGCCATCTCGTTGGCCCTTAATCACTTTCATTTATTTCAAAACTATTTGCTTAGTCTTTAGTATGTGCCTGCAACTGTAATGTGCTTGGTGCCATTAATACAACATGAGGCAATATTGTTAGTTTTTTTTTTTTTTAATCACATAACTGCGGGGGTCAGTGGCAAATAAACCTAATTAACAAACCAACATAAAGTTATCAACTGTGAATATGTACAATGAAGGAATTATGAAGATAAAATGAGAGTGTATGCAAGCTGTAACCTAATTCCCTAAGAAAATTATTGAGACACTGTACACTCTACTTGGTAGTTCTTTATTTCCTAGTTCCAATTTCTGTCATGCTCTTTTCTGGTGACAAGTGAGTAGCCTTAGCTGTCCTGGATTTGCTTTGTAGACCAGGGTGACTGAGCCCTCACAGAGATTTGCCTGCCTCTGCTTCCCTGAGTGCTGGGATTACTGGCATGTGCTACCACGCCTGGCTTGAACAGAATTATTACTCTTAGCAAATGGTAAAACAAGAAAGCTGATGGGAAATTACCAGTATCATCCTGTCCTTTAACATTTCTTTTTAAAGGCCAGTACCTGCTAATAAAATTATCTGCTCACCCATGTAGACCAATGGCTAGGGACAAGTAACTTTATACAGCCTAAAGCAATGGTTAGAGATATTTGCAAAATTTTAGTCTCCTGAGCCTCGTGTCACACTAACTTGTTTTTCCAGGGTCTACATGAAAACAAGTTGGAGTGGACCATTGTGGCATGTATCTGTAACCCACCATGTGGAAGGCTAAGGCAGGACTACCATCTGAGTTTTGGAGTTAAAGAGAACAGTCTGAACAACATAGGGAGTCTTCAGAAAACAACACAACAGGGGCTGGAGAGATGATTCTGCTGCTCTTCCAGAAGGCCCAGGTTTTATTCCTGAGCCCACACAAGCAACTCACAAACATCTGTAACTTCAGTCCCAGGGATGTTTTGCCCTCTTCTGGTCTCCACTGTGCACACACAGTGCACAGACACACATACATACAGTCATGGTGTTTCATCACAGCAATAATAGCCCTAAGATACTACTACTTTTTATTTTTTAAAAATATTTTATTAAGGGGCTGGAGAGATGGCTCAGCGATTAAGAGTATCGGCTGCTCTTCCAGAGAACCTGTGTTCAATTCCAAATACCTATATGGCAGCTCACACCTGTCTATAACTCAAATTCAAGGGTTTCTGACACCCTCACAGACACACATAAAGGCAAAACACCAATAAACATAAATTAAAATATTAAGGCTAGGGGTTAGTGACACTCGTCTTTAATCCCAGCAGAGGCAGGCGGATCTAAGGTTTGAGACTAGCCTGGTAGAGAGAGAGAGAGAGAGAGAGAGAGAGAGAGAGAGAGAGAGCGAGCGCGCTAGTTAGTTCCAGGACAGCAAGGATGGTTACACAAAGAAATCCTGTCTTGGGAGAGGGAATTTTTTTTCATTTTATTTACTTTGTGGGTGTGTACATATGGGTGGACACCAGTTATACAGCGTGTATATGGAAGTCAAAAGACAACTTGCAGGACTTACAAATGCCTTTCATTTGCTCACAGACCTAAACATACTACTCTAAAGACGAGCTAAATGAGTTCCCCAAAGACAAGATTGAGGGCTAAATAAAAGAACTATCCCCAGCAAAACCTGAAACCACCCTACCTGGGCTCGCTCCTCATCAAACTCCAGGCAACCCATACCATCCAATCTGTGGAGATCAATCCAGCCCTTCCAAATAACACATACTCCATTCAGAATCATGGGAGCCTTCAAGTACACCTAAAAAACAGAAAAGGACTGGTGAAAACCAATTAAAAGCCATCAGACACGGTTTTTTTTTCCCCCTTAGGATATATTTGTTTATTTTTCTTTTCTAAATGTACATCTGCACGCCAGAACAGGGCACTGGATTCCATAGGACTACAGTTATAAAAAGTTGTATGTTGGAGAAATATCCAAAAGGAATACTCTGAGATGCTATAACATCTTAAGTCACTGAAAAACGTGAAATATGTAATACACTTTATGCCTTAAGTATTTTATTTTTGTTTTGTTTATTTATTTATTTAGAGACAGGGTTTCTCTGTGTAGCCTTGGCTGCCCTGAACTCACTTTGTAGACCAGGCTGGCCTTGAACTCACAGAGATCTACCTGCCTTTGCCTCTCAAGTGCTGGGATTACAGGCATGAGCCACCATAGCTGGCTACTATGCCTTAAGTTTTAAAAGGTATCAATAAATTTTATTTTAAATTTGCTGAGCTAAAATCTATCTATCCTATAAACCATTATTAGCACTATCAAAAAATTTCAACATCTTTACATATTGAGGTGACTTAAACTTTTACAGTTTTATATTTTCTTCTTTAAAGATAACCAATACAGTCACTGATCGTTTAAGTAACAAGTTTTAAATAACACTAGAGCAAAAGTCACTTTAGTAGAATTTCCAAACTGAGATTTCTAATCACATGAATTCTCATGTTTGTCTTCTCCTTATGCTGAGAACCCCCCCCCTTTTTTAAATAAAGTTTTCAATAAACTATGTTGAGTCAATTTCTCCTTAAAAAGAAAGAAGACTCTGCAAAAACATAAGGTTCTATTTCTCCTCCCATTGGAGCAAGGGAAACAGTCTACAGTTATAGTTACAACTGTTTAACCACATATTTCCTTTTGTTCTGATGAGTGCTCATTCCTCTTCGAATTATTTATCCATCCACCCATCCACCCATCCATCCTTTTTTGGGACAGAGTCTCATGAAACCCTGGTTGGCCACTATGTAGGTGGGAGCGACCTTGAACTCCCAGTCCTCTTGCTTTCATCTTTCTTGTGCTATAGTAATCACACCTGCATACCATCAAGTCAGCCACATTTACTCCATCTATGTGCACCTTTAGTCAGGTGACAATGCTGACCTCCTGCTCAACACCCCAGAGAAACCTAAGAACATCCCTCTACACTTTCCATCAAGAGAACTTGACTTAGTATATCCCTATTAAGTCTGACTGACCATTTATTTCTCACAGTACATGGTATGGTACAGACAGTAACATTTCACTACCAAAGTCTCTATTACATTAAATTCTGATACAAATCATGTAATTTTTCTTATAATAGCCAAAAAGTCAACTTCATGCTACTTTTAAACCATATTTGTGTTCTTCACAAATGGTTTATAGCTTTTAAAATTGCAGATTCTGCAATTTTTTAGCTTATTCATATTAACATCCACAGGCAAAAATATTCCCCTTGTGAAATTCATTTTTTTCAAGCTTGTCTTTTACTTCTTTATAAATCTTTCATAAAAAGGAGACCACCACTGATCTGTTTTGGGAAATTCCTAAATGGCTTTAGAAAATGGCTACATTCATTATGAAGAATAATGTCTGGACTCCTAATTTAAAATAACATCTGATGATCCTGATTTATTTAAATGTTCACACTGAAATAAAGTTTTATGTGTAATCTTCAAAGTAAATGTTTGGTGCTTTTATATACTCATGAATAGTAGGCCTCAAAGTCTGAAGAAAATATACTGCTGTCTCTTAAGAGTGGGTATTTTGTAATGTTAATTCAATAATGTCATTTAAACACAAAGACATTTATTTCACTGAAAATGATGCCTTATTTCAAACTTTGAAAAGAAAGGTTATTATATGTTCCAAAATGAAGTTCATTTGTCCTGGAAAAAATTATGTTATAGAAAATGGATTCCACAAAGCCTTAAAAACCAGTAAATAGATGCAGCCAACCAAAGGAAGCAACAAAACACTTATCTTTTAAAAGCTAATTACTACAGAATGAGACTTCCCAGGTTGAAAAGTGACTATAGTCTTGTTTTTTAAAAGGTAAAATGTGGTTTAGCAGAATTTAGTATGATCTAAACATCAATATTTTTATTTCATAATTAATCCAAATTAATCCAAATCCAAAAATTAATAAAAATAAATCACCTTATTTTCAACCTGTAACTTCAAATTCCCCATCATTCAAGCTAGCAAAGAAGTTCAATAAGAACATGCTTGTATCATCCAACTATATTATTAGTATTAGGACCAGTGCAAACGCAAGGTCAGCCTGCACTACACAGGATGACTGTCTCAAAACAAACAAAACAACCCTCACCATTGCCACCAACAACAAAACAAAAACTCTAACAACAAAAATTAAGTATTGCTTCTATAACACAGATGGGCCCCAAAACCATACTAGGTGAAATAAGCCAGGAAAAGATCAAAATTATTAAATTATCCATCACAGACAAATCTAGAGATAAAAAGGAAATATAAGATATGGGCTGATATAATAAACATGGCGGCCACTAACACTATGGGTTCAAATATAGAAGAAGGAAGAAAGATTCCTTGAAGAATCAATAGGATATAGGGACCAATGAAGAATGTGGAGAAAGCCTAACTTTTCAACGTGGGCAGAAAAAGACAATGCAGAGCAGACTATGAACAGCAACAACCACATGGGAACACAATATATCATAGGCTGATGTTCGCCACTGTTGGCTGCATTACGCATCTCGGTGTCACAGGACCTTAGGTCACTCAAGTTTTTGGCAATTCTTTTATTTATAGAACAAAGTTTTTGTCATAAATGTTCCCCCTTTCATTTTTTCAGACCAGGTTTAAATATACAGGCCCGAGAGGCATGGTAGAGGAAAAACAGCTGAGCTGATGATGCCACTGCTGCCTCCAAATTGCTTACTTAGAAACAAGCATCCTCAAGATCCTCAATCAAAGAAGGAAATCCTGTACAAGTTAATAAGTGAGAAGTTGATCGGATTTCCTCATACCCTTCTTTTGACACTTAAATTTCAGGACCCAAGTCCACTGATTTATTTTTACTAGCTACTTAAAAGGGGGTACAGTTAAAAAAGAGTTTGAGAGCCAGGCATAGTGGTGCACGCCTGTAATCCCACCACTTGGGAGGCAGAGGCAGGCAGACTCAAGCTCTGTTGAGTCTGAGGCCAGCCCAGTCTACAAATTGAGTCCAGGACAGCCAGGGCTACACAGAGAAACCCTGTCTCAAACACCAAAACCAAACCAAGACAAACAAACAAACGACCCCCCCCCAAAAGCTTGAGGTTAGGGATCTTGCATTGTGGTCATATTTACTCAGCACACACAGTAAAGCTTTACATTTAATCTCCAGTAACAACTAGCTCTAGCTCTCTCTCTGTGCCCATTTTCTGGAAGAATGAGTACTTATATTTTGTTCTGTACTATAAAGACCTTGGAGTCTGTCTATGAAGGAGGATTAGCAGTTTTTACCATCATATTGAATTGGATTTTTTTTTTTTTTTTTTTTTTTTTGTTTTTGCTTTACAAACCCCTTAAGAATCTAATGAGGGCTGGAGAGACGGCTCAGTGGTTAAGAGCACTGTCTGCTCTTTCAGATGGTCCTGAGTTTAATTTCCAGCAATCACAGAGAGCTCACAACCATCTATAATGTAATCTGATGCCCTCTTCTGTCATGCATATGTATAAATAAATAAATCTTAAAAAATGAATCTAATGAAAGCAATAATATTTTCTAGGAAAAAAAAAAAGCACCTTGTTTCAAAAGTAAATTATTATTCAGAATTTCACAAAGTTCTGGTCTTACTGAAATGTACCTGTAAATTCAAACCTTCTTACTGGTTTTCTTAACTCTAATCCCTAAACTTCGCAGACAGAGGCAGAGGCCTCTGAGTTTGAGGCCAGCCTAATCTATATACAGGTCCCAACCCAATCAGGGCTACATAGTGAGACCATGTCTCAATAAAATAATATAAAAGAAATCTCTTGTTATCTAGGTATGATGGTAAAGGCCTATAATCCCCAAACTCCATAGGCTGAGACAGGAAACTTGAGTTTGAGGCTAGCGTGACTACTGGCAAGTAGTGAGTACCAGGATTACTCTTTCAGAAAGAATATGTTCTAGCTCCCAGGTAGCTGAGGTGAGGCAAACTGAAAAGAGAAGAGCTGTGATTGAAACAATTTTCATGTTTGAGTTATTCTAAAGAAGACAATTTTGAGATAAGTAAAGCAGAATAATTGTAGATTTACAAACATACTAATGCGCATCAGTATTGATTGAGTCACAGACCAATATGCACAGAAACCAAAACTACTGACAAAAGCAAGCAAAGACTTCATTCCTAAAAAAACAACAAAAAACCCCCCCACAAAACACAAAATCCACAAACAAAACAACCCAAACTTTCACCTGGAAAGAATATTACACTTCTCTATAAGCTGATAAGCAGGAAATGGTGGCACACATGCCTTTAATCCCAGTACTCAGGACGGAGAAGCAGACTTATTTCTGAGTTTGAGGCCAGCCAGTTTTCACTGTGAGTTCCAGGACTGCCAGGGCAACACAAGGAAACCCTGTTTTATACACCAAACTAACCAACTAACCCAACAAACAAATAAACTGATTACATTCAAAATGTTTCTGAGTTTAGTCTATAAGATGAAATACCAGGAAAACATTAAAAGAAAATTATTATTCCTTAGTCTCTAAATATTTAATTCTTTAAAAAATTATTTTATGTATATGGGTGTTTTGCCTACATGTATGTAGGCATACCTCATTTGTCTTTCCTGGTACCCTAAAGGTGAGAAGAGTACATCCACTGGATCTGCTGGAACTGGAGTTATAGATAGCTTTGAGCTGCCCTATGGGTGCTGGGATTTGAACCAGTATCCTTTGGAAGAGTTGCTGGTACTCTTAACTACTGAGTCCTCTCTCCAGGGCCTCAGAATATTTATTAATAAAAGAACAA